CCCCAAAACCCCAAAACCCCAAAACCCCAAAACCCCAAAACCCCGTAATATTTTATTCTTATTGAAAGTTATCAATGACTGATTATTGCCAGATGTGGAAAGATGTCAACTCTGATAAGAGTTACCTCATCAAAACCGGTGGTCAAAGAAATGTTAGGGAGGATGGAAGAAATTGAGCCAAATTTAATCACAGAATGTCAGGATTTTTAAATTTTAAACAACGTATGAAGATGGCTAAGAAAACTAAATCTATAATGCCTGATCTTCCAACTTATCTGAGCTCTTCATATGATGGAGAAAGCATGAAACCAAAATCTTCAGCTAGGGAGAGTGCCAGATCTGGCTACAAGATATTTCCAAATAAATTAGACAATACTCTCTCTCAAAGCTCTAATATCTATCCATCAATCTCAAATAAGTCTTTGCCAGCTTCTTCAAAGAAGAAAGCCAAGGGAAAGAAATCTGCTGCTTCTCATAGCTGTGATTTAAAATAACTATAAAACAATGATGAATATAAAGAAGCTTAATCCAACAGAGCAGAACAGCAAATTCGTTGAACTATCTCCTCAAGGATTGGTCCAACGAGCACCTACCATAAAGCAGATGCATGAAACTTTATATCCCTCTATAAACAAGTTTTATGATCCGATGAGGAAAATATTAGCTTTAAAGAATAAAGAAGCTCAATCAAAACTTTTACAGCAAAGTCTGGGGTCAAAACTTAAGGATTCAAATGCTCCGTCTGCTTGCTTGCAAGCTAATAAGTCAGTTGTGGCTTCCTTTGATACTAAATAATCCTTTGAAACAGAACAAAATGGTACCCTTCTACAGTATAAAATCTGTAAGTGGATTTTTCACATGAAGTCTTATCAAGAATTATAGTCAATTAAAAACTTGGGGAAAACAGTGACCCAAAATAGCACAAATGAGGATGAATCTACTTTAAAATTCAACCAAATATTAGGTAATTTGACTGCTTGAATATTAGACGATGTTGAAATAGAGTCTGCTTCTAGTCAGAACTCAACCTATAACAGTTCCTTCAACCCTCAGAGACTAAGATCAAAGACTGAATTGAGGAAGGAGTGAAATCTTAGCAAAAGAATGGAGAAAATGACTCTAAATATAGACAATGCCTATAACAAGGCTATGAAAAAGCAAATGAAGAGGAAACCAAGAAGAACTTATGAGTGTGGCAACCCAACTGATCTATGGTACCAAGATATAAAATGGATGAAGAAGGCAAATCCTGTCCCCTTTGAATACGCTAAAATGGATGAGAACAACTCCAAAAAACTTGCATCTAATTCGAGAAAGAGGAAAATGGTGAAACAGAATTATTATCTGAGCCGTAGTAGCCAGGAGCATTTCTTCTTGAAGAAAGTCTACCAGAAGTTAAATTTTTAGCCAGCTTCAATCTTCTAACTGTTATGAGGGGTTTTGGGGTTTTGGGGTTTTGGGG